TACTATTTTCGATGACAAAATTCATTCAACTCATGTCTACTGGGCTATCTATGATCCCAATCGTTTAATGAGCCTCCGGTACCTGCAAACATGAGCAGAACTTAATAGCAATTAAGTCTTTTACATTTGTCAAAACTTGCCTTTTTTGAGGTGCTCTTTACTCAAAATGTACCTTGAAAATCGGAGTTGGCGGAAGACTCGTGCCACACTATGGCCCCCAGGCGACATAATTGCCACGCCTTTGAGGCCCTTGGGTGGTCTATTAAGGCTATTTTTTCATCTTACGTCTCTTACCACGCCTTTTTTCTGCGCAGTTTTCTTTTAATTCGGTCAACCTTCCTGACAGGTTTGATGTTATTGAAAAGAATTATGTATTCAAAAGCTTAACTGTGTACCTTTTTTGAAGTAGCTTTAGGGATAAAAAAAAATTAGCGTTCGATTCATTTTTTTAAAAAAAACAACAGTTTTTTAATGTATACACTCGTTCTTTGGCATCGTCAATGTTTGGAAGGTTGGATTTTTCCCAGAAATGAATCCAGAGGCATCCATCAAACTGCGTGAGAAGTGCTCAATCTCTAAAGGGTGCAAATTAATTTCATGATTATTCATTGAAGATTGTAATGACTTTGGTTAATTCCACAGAACGTGCTCATTACTTTATTCCTTTTTTTTAATGTATCGTTACTATGAAATTATTGAAACTGTTTGATGGTCATAAAGGGCAGTTTCTGATTAATGAGGTTGGTGGAAAGCGTGCAATTTGGCAGGTCAAGTTGTTCTCATAGGCCATTTCGTACGAGAAAAATAAATTAAAAAGAGTTAGAAATTTGAAATCACATAATTTAAGAACGCGTTTTTTACGTGATGGTATGGCTTAAGCAAATACTCTCATATTTTCTACAGAAAATGCTTTAAAATTTACTTTTGGATTTTAGTAAAAAATTGCTTGATAACTTTATTAAACATGAAGCATTCTCGCAACAGCCTGTTGTGGACCAGGGGGGGGGGCATTTAGATTAGGGCTCAATTTCATGACCAACGGCCTGATTGTGGTAATGTGGTCAGCACTGCGTATAACCCAGATCACCTTTACTTCCATTTCCCGATATCCATGGCTAGGTGGGCATCAAAATTTGCCTTCATTGTCATCTTGCTTTTGTTTGTGCGAGGGTGGAATCTTACAATAAAATTTCCAATATCACTTTTCCAATATCATTCATATTCTTGAATTAATCATTCGTGAATTAATTTATTAAAAGTTGCAAAGTAATTTTACAAAAATTAATTACTGGAAATTGTTTCATATTTATAAAATTAAGACTTCTTAAATATACATGCTTATTTAATTATCGTAAAGCATGTTTCCTTCAGTGAAATTTCCTTAAATTTATTTTTAAAAACAAATTTGGTAATATACCAAACATATTTATTTTATTTACGTAATTTTTCGCCTTTAAACATTTCTTTCGCATTAACATTAATTTTAGTGCCATACATTTGTAAAACAAGAACTTAGCGTAAAAAACACTTAAACTTTTTTTAAAGCGTTATTTCAGTATTTATAAAAATAAAACTTTCTAACGCTAAAGATAAATGTCCGAAACTCAGTAGCGTTTATAGAAGATTTCGAATTAAAATAATTCTTTCATATTAAAGAATAAATAAACGATGCAGAAAAAAATTCGAATCAAGTACTGAAAGAACATTTAGACATCACTTTCAGCGAAAAGCGTTAAAAAAGTGATAATGAAAAGGACTTAATTACCCTTATAACCATTTTTCTCAGAAAGTAGCTAAGTATAAGTGATGCTATTTATTGAATGAGTGTGTGGCGTGCCAATGCTTCTAGCGAAACGGGAAGTATTTTTCAAAATTAGAAAACATAACGGCCTGTACTCCATTCCCGTAACAGTTATCGTTTAAACCTAAAATGCATAGGCGGGACCTATGCAGAATGTGTGTATATATATATATTTCTCTTTTTCTGCCATCTCTGGAGTAAAAGCCAATTTCATTTCAACCCCACGCGAACTGCGGATAAGTTTTTGTAGAATAAGCGGCTTGGGGTAAAACTAATTTTATCCGTCATGATCTGTTTTTACCCCAGAAAAGCGGTGATTTCGTTCACCCTTTATTGGCGAAATGTTCCCTTCCCCGACTTTCTCGTGTAGAAATGTAACTCAAAGTATGATGGCAACAATCACTCTGCTTAGAAAAAGGGTTGCTTCTCGCTCTCTTTTTCCCCTCGTCTTCGTAATATGCAAAAGTTGTAATAAGATGGAGAAACAAAACAAAAAAAAAAAATAAAATACATATATATTCCAATATTGCTTGGAACCCGTTTACAATGCACACGAAAAGTCGAAGCCAAATGAGATCTGGCCCCCCTTCAAGCTCGACTTGGAGCCGAAAATCATTTGGTTGATTGGCGAGCTGAATTCCTTTTTTTTAAAATAAAAGAAAACGAGAAATTTCTAATTTTTTTTGAGAATGAGAATGGCAACTGTGCAGACGGTAAATAAACGCACATTATATCAGACGATATACGAAAAACACGCCACAACTGATGTTACTACCTAGACATTTTCAAAAGTCGTCACGTGAGAGAGATCTCGACATTGCCCTACTAGTTAACTCTTTGCGGAAGGGTAAAAAATATTTCTATGTTGGGGCGTTCTTTTTTATGCCCCAAACGTAATTGTGGCTTAGGAATTTCGAACAAAATATTCTTCCCTTCTCTCTTTGATACTGAAATCATTTATCTTCGGGGTTGCTTTTGGACTAGACATCTTCATTACGCCGAAACATAAGAAACTTGGCTGGCAGAAGTGAATAGGAAAAACGCATAAATAGAACAGATTTTGCTGCTTTTTTTTTGTTTTTGATTTCCTTGCTTATTACTTCTGAGAGGAGAACCTTTTACTTTTGATTAAAAAATGCTTCCCCATAAACGATTTAATGGCGTGATTTCTTGATTTCCTTTTTCTTTATTTATCCTTTTCCACATTTACGCTTGCAAAAGTCGGTCTACTGATTAAAGCGTAACTCAGAGAGAAGTTAGTTCCACCTTTTAAGATATTAGATCATCACGGAGCCAAGCACATAGCATACTTATGGTAGATATTAGAGTGAAATACAGAAAACAATTCATTTTATTCATAATTACATGAAAGAAACAATTAATCAAAACTTATTCAAATTCATCAAAAAAAATTGCCTCATTTTTTAAATAACAGCAATATTCATTTTCATTTTCACTTTATAAATGTTGTAATGTTCCCCAAGTAAATTAGATTGAACTTATTGAAATAAAATAATATTACTGTAATGAGTTGGAATTTATTTGTCACACTATAGAATTTACGTTATCGTGTTGATTTTTAGTAATAATAAGTTTTAATTATTTTAAAACTAAAATTATTGCACAAAAAGTTTTACTTAGAACTTCTTATCGTTTAATATCAGCATTTAGTATTTTATAATTAAATAAAAGTACCAAAAGTGTACATTAATGTTATATAGAGATGCCTAAGCTGATGTCCCTTCATTTACCTGTCCACTGGCAATTTATCAATGATCAATGAGGATATAACAACCAATAGGAATATGCTTATTCTAAGATGTTAATACGTATAGTTCAATAAGAATAGTGCACATATCTAGTTGCCACTCCCAATCGCAAAATTAGGAAAAGCAATTGATCTATTCAACTCAAGGATGTAGTTCAGCCTCTGGCATAGGTACCTTTATTCGGAAAAAAACTCCTTTTAAAACCATGAACTAAACGTTCACATACTGAAGCATTAACTAAATAATAATCAGAGCTATTTTGATTAATGTGGTTTCTTAAAGGCTGAAGTTTCTGAGTTAGAATTGAAAGGTAAAGAATCATTTAAAATTGTTTACAAAGCTTGGTTCAAACTCAGGAGCAAAAATTAAGTGAAATGTTTTACTTGTCACTAAAAATAAATAATATTATCCCAAACTAGTAGCTCTCAACTTAAATTTACAAGAAAAATGACCTCGAATTCACACGGAACGTGTGTTACTTCATTAGAATTTAACTACCATCCATAAAATTTTAGATGTTTATAATATTATCTGTTACTATGAGGACTATTCGTTTTTTAAACTCATTCAAAAACCTTTTATTTGGAGCTGTATCAGATCGAGAAAAGGACTTCTTTGTTTACATAAGAAAATACGGAGAAAATTTTCCTACTTTACATTATTTCAGAAACTAAAATGCATAAAAAATTTAAGCATATATTAAAATATGTTTTGAATAGCAGTTTATGTATTTATGTATTTACAAATCTTAGTTAAAAATAAACTTTTTAATCATAGTTCAGAAAGAAAACCGAACTCTTTTGTTTCTGAGTATTGATGACAACGATTTAAACTCGTGCTTATAGAACATTCGAAATAAGAGCTATTTAGTATTTTTTGAAACTTTGAAAATATAATAAAATCTCATTTATTATTTACCTGCTTTTAACCAGTAATAAATAATCAAACAATTTTGAATCAGCAATTAACTATTTTGCGTACTTCCTCTTATGATTAATTTAAGAATAATATTTGATAGGGAACACTGTATCATAGCTGCGAACAGTTGAAAGTGATATCAATATGCCAAACTTTCTTACGCATGTATGTTACTAATAAGACGCCCGGTGGCTGAGCGGTAGCTCTTCACGCTCCCGAGCCACAGGTCCTGGGTTCGATCCTCGGGCCAGGCAAGGTTGACTCACCCCTTCATTCCTTTAGTGGGTCGATAAATGAGTACCAAGCATGATTGGGAACTAAACACTGGGAGTTCCGCGTTTGGCTGACCACCTGACCTGAACATCTGCTCCTGCACACCAGAGCCCAAGGTCAAGAAAACTGAGATGGGCACAGCAGCCCTTGGTCCTCTATGGGCTGTCGCGCCACTGTGTTCAGTTAATACTAATAAATTAAATAAAATTATTTTGCTAATGAGAAATGTTTTATTGCAGAAAGCCCTTGACGTCACTGCTACAGAATTGGCCAATAAACAAGATGAAAGCGATAACTCAAGAAAAAGACTGGTCGAACTTAGCAAAGACTTCAAGAAAAACTCGTCTGAAGTAAGTTCATGTCTGCAATATTTACGGAAATTACGCAAAATAAATTAGCTTTAAATATAAGGAAAATTTTAAAAATAAATAAAATTGTTCCTTTGTTTCAAAATAGAATTCATGTAAATGCTTACCCATTCACCTGAAGATTGAAATTTCAGTGATAGAAAGACTTTAATACAGTGGTTCTCACAAGGTGTTACGCGTAACCCTTGGATTCCAATGAAGGGATACAAGGCTACAGAGTTGTTTTTTTAAATTATTATTCAAATATTAAGTAGAAAAAGAAGGTCGATTATTTAGGGCTCTATAACCAAAAGTTGATTGGGAAGCACTGACTTAATTAAAGAAAATTTATTTCCATAAGACTTTTCTAAATGGAACAATCATTACAGTGCAAATAAAATACCCAAAACAACAATTTCTGTACATGGCAGTTTTAATGAATTTTATAAGTTGCAAAGCTAACTTTAACCGATCTTATATTTTAACTAAGTATCAAGAAATGTGAACAAAATTTTTTGTACTTATTATTGCAATAATAAAAATTTCCTCACTAACTTTAGATGCTAGTTCGAATAAATTTTATTCCAACAATCATAATGACCATCTTCAAGTCGAGAACTTTTTTCTCGTACGAGATCTTGTTATTTAGCTCGTGCTACTTTTATCTTTGAATTGAACTATGAAGATGAATGATTTGAAATCTCTATCCCCATTCCATGTTATTGTTTTAAGAAATGCCATAAAAAGTGCTAATGAGGAGGACCCTTTTAGAATTTTACCATTCGCAGACGAAAAGTTACGTTTTTTCCCCATTTTATTCAACCCGATTTTCTTTCTAGCAATGTGCCTATTTATTCCCATGCCTCGCTTATGCCCCATCTCAATATCGTATATCTCCTCATCTGGACATAATTCCACACATCTCTCCCTTCAGAACGACATTCATACCTCTCGCTAATCTTCTAGCACGCTTGGAACATTGTTTTCTTTTACCTGGCACAGAAGAGGAAAAGGGAGGCACCATTATTCTGCAAAAGAGGACATGGAGATGCCCTCTCGCATCGATGCATTCCCCCCGAAGAGTGGAGAAGGGATAACTTTTAGAAAGAGAATGTGTCTTCTATATATGATGAATAAAACATCCACAACTATTGTGTGAGGGAGTAATTAAATGTTTTCGCTGACTTGCCAATGGCCGGCGACGCCATGACTGCAGTCATCTTCTTAGACAAAAGGACAACTCGCACGGAAAGCAATAAATGACTCCATGGCTAACTAAGAGAAGGAATGATGACCTGGAGACGTCTTACCCCCCCTTCCCCATCGAGAGAGGGAAAGTCTTGGCGCGAAAGGGTTAGATGCAGAAATGAATTCATTCAAGCAGCATTCTTCCCATATAGATCATTAACACACGTGGTAATAGCACACGCCGATGACAACAATCGAAGACCCTTTCCCCATCCAACCCACTTATTCATCGGAGGATCTCAGAAAATTTATCCGGCGAACCGGATTTGGCAAATCATGCATGACTTCATACTCGGCTATAAATTTCTAATGCTGGCTCCTTCTTCCCCTTTTAAACAAACCAAATTTCCGGACTTGGATGTTAATGACTGGATCGACTTGGAAAAGGAACGATCTTTCTTCCACTTGTCATGGATTGGGATATCCGAAGGAAGATGATCTATCAAAAGATTGCATTCTCTCTTTTGTTGAAGGAGTGAAGGATTACTCCATTGATTTGCATGTAATAAAAATGACAGCGTAGGAATACTAACTTCATCCCACTAAAACTTAGATTTTTGAGTGGTTTTGGAGAAATTTCTTGAAGAGTGTCTTAAGACAACACATCATATTTTTAATCACGCTATAAATTTATTTGCTCCATAAATCGTTTTCGTGTTTCCTAACAAACAATTTGCCTCAGAATAACTCTTTTAAATAGTTTCTGTCATATATTGTTCTTGTTTATTAAAACAAGTTTATATTATGAGTACTTAAATTGCTCGAAATGGTGGTTTTCTAATTTTGCTGAGCAAAAGCTTTTTTTTCCAACTTTGTTTTTAACAACAACAATTTTAATATAGCTAAATTTGGTTATGCGTGCAATTAAACATAGTTTCTTTTTGTTATTATCATTTTAAATAGTGAAATGATTGACTAATGTTGAAACGCTTAGCGAACAAATGAAAGAATGCTCTGAGATATCTGAGGAACTGCTAGCAAGTCTAGCAGTGATCTTTAATTTCCTTGATACATACATGCCTTAAAATCACCGAATCATCTAATTGCTTACAAACGGATATAATAATTTTTTTTGGCTAAAAATAAAAACTTTGAATTGTTACTAAGGCATGCTCAATATAAGTTTCTAATCTTCTATCAGTTGTTTCTGCGTATCAGGTAATTATTGTGTATTATATCAGGTGTTATGAGACAGATCGGTTGAATCATAATTCCGGTGCCTTTAACAATAATATCGTACTGGTTTGATTAAAGTGACCAGATGTCCTCAAACCTTAAGGACAAACTTCAAATTCCAATAGCTATCATCAAAAACTGTGAAAGTCTTTAAAGACAGAAAGTATCTTTAAATTTGTCTGATATATGTCTTCGAATTGTTCAAAAACCTCTAATTGTTTTTCGTATGCAGCAAAATTTCAGCAACAAAAAATCAGAAATGCGTATGTTTTATTAAACAAGATAATTTTGTCTTACGAGAATACTATCGAAAAGCAATGCTAAAACTAACTCATGGAAACTTCATACTCGCATGAAAATAATTTCGACAAAAACTAAACTAATAATCATGAACTTCTACATTTTACAAGTGATTAACAAATCCAGAATATCATATAACTAGGGGGCTCCGCCCCCTGCTCGCTACGCTCGCCAACCCCCAGAACTGCTTCGCAGTTCCATTGCATATTGCTTCGCAATCTTATAAAAACATTTTAACAAATTTAAATTTTAAAATAAAAATGCCAGATATTGAAATCAATTACTTAATGAAATTTATACACTTCTCTGCCCCCTTCACAATTTGATTATCTTTTCTTCATGTAGCTGAGAAATTTGGAGCTGTAGCAGAGAATATATCTCAATAAGAAATGCTTTCCCGTTTAGAATTCCGCCATTCATTTCTCTGACGTCTGCCAGAGGTATTTCGACGCCTGATAGCAGGCATTTTATTTAGGCAGTAGGCACTAAATAAATAAAAATAGAACTAAATAACTAAGATATCGTTTTAAATCTCAAATCAAAATAATTGTTTGTAGAAAGTTTGTTTTGGTTTGAATATTCGCACGTTTGTTTTGGTTTGAATATTCGCACGATGCCATTGCCATTCTATTGTAACGAAACAAAAAATTTATCATGAAACTAAAAATTTATCAAAGGAACTAAAGATATTGAATTCTTTTTTAAAGAAATTCAGTTCCGTTTTTTTTTATCCACTCTTATTTTTGTTTATCAATCTATTAATTCAGAAATGCTTTAAATCAAACGATGCTTACGGAAACAATGCTTATGCGAACCACCCAAAAAATGATTTGCTGAATTCTCATTGGTTGAAACTAAATTATTAATTTTATTAATTAATTAAAGGAAATTTTCATAATTTAAGACCTTATTGCACATCTACATAACAATACCTTTAAAACAACACCTTATTTGTTTAATTCTGTTGCGTAATTTGGGAGTTTTTAGCGAGACAAAATATTGCTAGCCTATTAATATATAGATGTATCAAAATTACTTAGTAATGTTATCAAGCTTGAAATGGATGGTTCTGCTTCAGATATTAGTTCTAATTTCTCTCTCTTTTTAAAAAGGTCTTTTTTTTGTTGCGGCACTTAGAAATTAATATTTTCCATAAATATATGAGTGTTGATCGTACCCAAATCATAAAATGTTTTAAGGACTCTTCGTTGATTTGTCCTCAAGTCATGGTTTAGAAATTTGGTCTTCTTACGTTTGTTGAAACCTTAATAAAGTGTTATATAAAACTATATATCCGATAAGATGAGTCATAGTATCATGTTTCCAAGTTTATGATGGTTTGATTTGAACCACAATATAGTTTATCTTGGTACCTTATAAAGTTTGCTTCAAATTTTCGCAATACTTGAGGTTCAACCCATACTTGGCTGCGGTCAGTAAGCGGGTGGGTTACCACTTTGGTAAGCCTGAGTAGGGGCCGATGGTGCTCGGTATCGGTCTTCGTTAAACTGTTCTTCCGTAAAGTGCTCAACTTCGTGCTCAGGTCGTCGGACTACCAATACAGGTGAGCCATCCTCTCTGCAGAGGATCAAAATTGTGATGGTAGGGGCAGATCTCGGTATCAGTCTTCGTTAAACTGTTCTTCCGTAAAGTGCTCAACTTCATGCTCAGGTCGTCGGACTACCAATACAGGTGAGCCATCCTCTCTGCAGAGGATCAAAATTTTGATGGTATGTATGTCGGATCATCCTCAGATATATTTCCCAGACCATCGCCAATAGTCCGTTGTGCAGCTCTAAGGTGACGTAAACTAAGTACCTACTTCAACGTATAGTCAGTGCAAATATAAAACTATCTTTCAATTAAATTGTTAATTTTCGTTAACTACTTTATTGAATTAAAAAAAAAGTTCATTTAAACTTTATTAACTGATATACCTATACATTTTCACACACATATTACTTTCCATGTTCTAATATTACACTTCTCGAACTTGTGGTTTATCGTGTTCTTATCCTAAATATGGAATGAAATACAATGTCTCTTTATTTCAATGCCATCATTTTTCTTTCATCTTTCCCAATTTTTTTTCTCCAATTTTTTTCTTCTCCCTGGAAATCTTCGACTAGGGAAAAATCCTTCACGGATTTCTGACTCCTCTTTTCTGGATGGCCTCTAATGGATCCGCTTGTCTTTCGTCAATGAAAACATATTTTCGCATCGCAACCTTCTCAGTACCGCGAATAAATGCGCCGAAGCAGAAAAGCTGCAAAAATCCC